CAGAACTCACACTAGACAAGCGACACAAAGAGACTTGTATTAATACTTATCCTAACTATCACCTCATACAAGACAGAGTAGACTGGTGGCCCAGGTAATTAGTGATGATAATAATAATATAATTTTTAATAAAAATGTTTATAAAAGAGGTAATAAAAATTTTTAAATATGTCAACACAGTTCAACCAGTACACAAGAATCCTGAGAATGACCAGCTGGAGAAAGAGAAAGAGGAAATGACAAATTATAAACACACACACATACCATAAAAGGATGTACAATAATATTATCAATTTATACATGTACATGTATATGTACAGTTTTATTACATTAATTTTATGATGTTCCTAGCATGCCTTTTTGCAAGAGTCTTGCTTTTTGTAATTAACCAATCAGATTGTCATGTTGGAGGTAAGTAAATGTATATGGGTAGTAAAAAGACATTTTTAATGAGATATTCTTACATGTACATTCAATTTTGATCATGTCAAGTGACAATCTACATTTTCATAATTTTTTTGATACCCATACATGTCCTGATGTTACAATAAATAGACAGATTTCTAACAACCTAAAGGCTAGTACAGATAAAATTAATTTAATAAAGACACTACATGTACCTGTACGTCCATTACGTACATGTATGAAGTAATGAAGGAACTGAAGTAGCTACTTGTACATGTACATGCAATTCTGTATTATCACACACTAAATTACAAGCTACCTACGCAAGTAATTGCAATGGACTAGACATCCTCAATACACTCACTGATGGACATGAATAGGCAGAACTTGACCAGATACATTTAGGACATCACCAATCAGTGATAAGTTAATTTAAATTATTGCTTCTCAAAAATATTTATAAATAATTGAAAGAGAAAATATTAATAAATTATCAGCTACAAATGAGAATAATAATAATAATAATAATAATACTACAGTTCTTGATGAGAGGGAGTGTGAGTTGATGAGGGAGAGGTAGGGAGACTTGTCTCTGTCATTGTTTCCTTTTGCAATCTTTTAATCTCATTATCATAGTCAACCCATTCATCAATGATACGTACTGCACTTGTTAACTTAGGCTCCTTTGTCATTGGATTATTACACTGAGAGAGAAAGAGAGAGAGAAGAATAGGATAAAAGAGACACAGTCTGTTTGTTATAGCAAGTTAGTTCATACAATTGCATGTAAAGCTAAATTTACAGT